ACGATTTCATGCGACTGGACTGTTTCCGGAGTCCTATCGCCGAGTACGGGGTGATATCATCTGTGTGCGACGTATTCTTCGCGGTGACATGGGTCCAGAGTTGATGGAGTATTTCCCTCTGCGCGAGCAGACCAGGACTCGTGGACATGGACTTACGCTGTTGAAGCTTTCGTCCGTAGGATTACCTCTTCGGTTCCGGCTATCGCGAAGGGTAACCAATCTTTGGAACTCCCTTCCAGCTGACGTGGTGGAAGAGGTCAATGATAAGATGTTCAAGAGGAAGCTCGACAGCGTCCTACGAACAATGTGGTATGCAGATCTATCATGAATGAGATCTTCGAGTCTGTGGTGATGAGGCTCATACGGGAAATTACCCTCTGCCTCTAACTGAAGAACATTGAACATTGAACATTGAACACAGTCGAACCACGATGGGAAAAGCCATGAAATCATTCTCTCAGTGCACGAGGAAAAACAAATAGGGAAGTAGTAAAGGAAGTGGACGGAAGAGATGAGAGATTGTTTGATCGGGAAATCTTGTAGCTGGCGGATATAGAAAGAGACGTTTTCGCCCAACACCAGCAGCCTGAGTATAGGGAGACCATACCAGGCTGCTTTCTAGTGAAACGCTAAGGTTCAGTTCAGTTTCATTTTGAATAACCAATAAACACGCACTTTCGTTCTTCGGTTTTATTTTCTATCTTTTGGCTGTCCAGTGAGATAAAGGGGTAGAATGAAGATTGAAATGTTGAAAGTTGTTTGAAGGTGAAAACAGATAAATTCTGTAGACTTAGGCATCAGCGACAATTAGTAGATGCACGATGGCCACTGTTTAAGGCACTCGGCAATATCACTGAGTGTCTCTTGTCATCGATAACATTGATTTGGAGGTCCCCATACAGGAAGCCTACCGCAACCCTGGTAAGGGTTTTCATATCCCCATACCAGGTTTTAGTTTGACCACCCTGGCTTTTTCCCTTAGCTACCTACCTCGGCAAACAACGCACGTCTTGTCAGTCTCTTTGACGACGCGCTACACATGGCTCAATTAACGTAATCTATGGGAGGCGATCATTTTGGACTACCACGGTTACCCAAAACTCTTCAACTAACCTCAGCGTTGCTTGGCCGGTTTCCTCAACACATATGTGCAATGCAGCATAAACAGTGGTGCTCGAATACCGACAGCCTATCTTGTTTTCTTATTTGCCGAGTTTCTGCGCCTTATAAGGAGCCTTCACAGAACTAATGCAGCATATAATCTACCTTTTTCAAACGGATAAGGGTCACTGTAGCTCCACAGACATCACAAATTGGTAAATGCCCGGGTGCCTTATAAATTCATCTCTTCAAATAGGAGAACCGTCAATGAGCAGTGGTGTTAGAAGTTGGATAAGATAAATGTGAACTAGTGAAGATCTATTAAAAAATTGATCATTTAGGGTTAAAACCAGCTTGGTAGGTGATTTATTTTGAGCACTAGATGAACAGTATGAGAGAGAGGAATTTATAGTGAATTGACATATGTTGAAGCAGAAAAGCATCCACTGCCTACTTAGCAACCATAGTAGAGAGATGATTTGGAAAACCCCTGACCGAATTAAAAGCAATCGGTAACGATGAGATCTTCCCAAACTCGGAGCCATTCATACACAACTTAATACGTCGAATTTTGACAGTGAACTAATCGACTGTGCATGCGAGAATGGAAGAATGACACCGAAAAAGATCGCCAACATCGGGAAGAGAGGACTGTTGTAGAGAAATAACCAAGAACCGGACAGGAAACGAACTTCATAGACTGGAACACACACACATCGTACCAAAGCACCTTGTGGAGGAAAGCTCATTCGACATGGACCTGTTTGTATTGCAAGCAAACTGCGGAGCATCCTCAGGTGCAGTCAAGGAAGATTGTGGACCAAATAGAACAGCACAGTCAAAAGTTTTCTAGTCTGACAAAATGTTTACCTTGGGGCTAAATGTGTTGAATAGAATGTTTTCGCCTGTTTGCGGAGCTTGGCAATTTGTTTGCAAAGGTTTCATCACCAGCCGAGGTGACATCATCAGTGCTTGTGAAGTTTTGTTTTGCTTCAAAAATAGGTCTAATCTCTAACCAACTAGCACATACAGACTTACTTTGCATGAATTGTAAGCCTGTAGGTGACCGGACAGCTTTACTTCATTCTACGATGGTGTTTCTGCTGAAGATGATAACGATGATGATTCCCAATAGCTACGTTAGAGAAATGATTGCACGAATTTTACCAAATGAGTCATGGCCTATTTTTGATTTGTTGTTTATTAAGCACACATTAGTGACTAACTTCTGTGCAATCCCATGGGTAGTATTCTTGTATTCTGTTTGTTAATTATTGGAATGCATACAGATGAGGAGGATGATAACGCGATCCATGAGGATGACGCCTGGAATGATGATGATTTGAGTGATAAAGATAAACATGATAAAAATGATTATTG